ATTTGTGTCCAGTAACATTTTACCTTAAGTCAAAAAGTGCGGCAGACGAACCTGTCGACGTTCAGCACAGCTGACGGTAGTGACCTTCGTAACATACATATCACTTGGATGCCCCGGAGGCCATGAGCTCTGGATCGCTTCTATGGTATGGTCAACAAAAGGCTGCGATTGGCACATCTAGCGAGGTTAACAACTGGCTGACATTGGATAGGAGTGTTCGCTTGCATATGTACATCCTCAGCCTAGATGTGAGGTAACCCGAATTGTGAACCACCATCGGAGCCGAACAGTCCTCCGAGCACATCAGGCACACCAAGCCTGGCGTGGAAGCCGAGCAGTCCTCCGAGCACGTCAGGCACACCAAGCCTGGCGTGGAAGCCGAGCAGTCCTCCGAGCACGTCAGGCACACCAAGCCTGGCGTGGAAGCCGAGCAGTCCTCCGAGCACGTCAGGCACACCAAGCCTGGCGTGGAAGCCGAGCCGTCCTCCGAGCACGTCAGGCACACCAAGCCTGTGCGTCGGAGCCGAGCGGTACCCGAACACACCCTCAGCCGGCTGGGGGGCGTCAGGTAGCCGCACCAAGCCTGGCGTCCGAGCCGAACAGTCCTCCCGAACACACCCTCAGCCAGCTGGGGGGCGTCAGGTAGCCGCACCCCAAGCCTGGCGTCCGAGCCGAGCAGTCCCTCCAACCACACCCTCAGCCAGTTGGGCGGCGTCAGGTAGCCGCACCAAGCCTGGCGTCGGAGCCGAGCGGTCCCCGAACACACCCTCAGCCGGCTGGGGGGCGTCAGGTAGCCGCACCAAGCCTGGCGTCCGAGCCGAGCAGTCCTCCCGAACACACCCTCAGCCAGCTGGGCGGTGTCAGGTAGCCGCACCAAGCCTGGCGTCGGCCGGGGGCGGGCGGCTCGTTATGCGTCACTGTCGGCGGTAGCCAGCACCCGACGCCACAGTCAGCAATCAACGTTACGCTCCTGGTGACCAGTGAACCAGATCAGGCCAGGCCAGACCAGGCCTGACCAGGCCAGACCGCTAGCGTGGCGCCCGAGCAGTAGCCGCGTGCCGACCGACGACCCCGTTATGGGTGACTAATTAAAGCGATTTGGGCGGGTGACGCTAATGCATTTTAGAACGGCCCGACGGAGGAATCACTGTAGAGGTAGCCAAAATGCGGTTCACACGGATATGGGCTGCGAATGAAACCATTCCACAGGTAATGGTGCCACACCATTTTCAACGCGTACAGATCATTTCTGAAGTTCAATTTGACGCAGCGTTACCGTTGACAAAGGCGCGAACAAATCGAAGGCTCGCACGTGAGACTGATAGTAGTTTCGATGACTAGTTTACGAATTCGCCGTCCTAATGTTCTGATTCATTCACCTTGGATGCGACAGATCGATGGAGGACATGGGGCCTGGTTTGAAAACGCCATAACTAGTGAACTCCTGCATAATCTGTTCCTTACACATGCCGGGTGGTCCTCGGGGATATGGGGGGTGTCAGCGATTGGCCAGATGTAGCAGCTACTTTAAGTGCAGGGTGAACACTGCGCTGAAATAGAAATTTTGCACAGTGCTCCCTCTTGGTCGCTTCCCTGACAGTGAGACGCGGTTCGGTCTGGCCGACAGAAATGCATGCTCACCAGGAAAGATGTTTAAATGCACCCAGATACGAGACGCCGGCTTTTGATACCACACTACCGGCGGCCGGTGGTGACAAACATTTACGTCACTGATGCCACTTCCGTGTCTTGACCGTTTCTTAATGTCGCAGCTTTGACATGACGTGTGAGATGTAATGAAGGCAAGCACGGATAAAAAACCGACAGCACATAGGCCGCTATACTGTGCAGCTTAAGTACTCAGTAAGGAAATAGTACAAGGCTTTGGGTTTGTATATGTTTCTCAAAATTTTATATATTGACAATAATTAAGTGATTTTATTTTCCATGCGCCACACATCTACAGTCAGTGGTGAAGCCTGGGATTCACCCAAGAGGGACCTCTTAGCCAGGGGGGCTCCATCGCTTGTCTCTACAGAACCCTGTTTTGTAATTCGGGTGCACCTTTAGGCTAGTTAGCCCATTTTCATGGGCGTAGGAGCAGGGGGGCCAGGGGGACCATGCCCCTCACTTCTCAAGATGGGGGGCCAGCAATGTTAACTGGCTTCTCCCCCCCCCCCCACACTTTTCAGATTAAGGTTGCATTTGGCTTACTTTTGCACTGCATTAAACATGCATGCCGATTTACCTAGTTCACCAGCCATCTCCCTTAAGATCTGATCTGATGTCATGAAGCGTCCAAGGATATTTCTCAGAAGCGTCGTCATTTTCGTCCACCCGTTGGCCACAACTGAATATTGGCTGCTAGGCCGACGCTGCGCGGCCTACGGAGACTGCACGCGCATGCTCAAAATTACGCCATATAATTTGCATAACTAGTTGATGAAAGTGTTTGAATGTAATCATTTCAGAAGCGTCGTCCTTTTCGTCCACCGGTGAGCCACGGCTAAATGCTAGCTGCTGGGTTGACGTTCCGCGGACTATGGAGACTGCAACGCCTGGTGTCGAGGTTTTTGTTGCTAAGATTTGCGAGCGGGCATGTTAAAAACACGTTACATGAATTGCACCACTAATCGATCCTGACTGAATGATGAACATTTTCAGATAAACATGACTTGGCCTGTTAATACACATTGTGGACCACTCGATCTGCGATCAATCAAATTTTCGTCTTCGAATTTGGATCAAACATATCGATCTACAATCTACCTTCGCGATATCCTCATTGTCTGTAGAACCCAGATAAAAAATTGACAAAGCTTCTGAATTCTATCGGTCTAAAGTCAGCTAACCAATGTAAATTAAGAGCGCCGGTGATTTCTTACATGCCGTCGTTCAACACCTGATTTCTGCAGCTTATTGACCTCAAAATGCAAACCGAATTGAGCTTGCGATAGCTCCTGGTTTCTGTTCTGGTTACGAGGCAAAAATAATGATAAAGCAAAGAAAACCGTGATACCTGTTAACAAGTAAGCCATATCCGGGGATTTGGGGGGGAGGGGCACGATAAGATGGGCTTTTGTCAACCCCGTGTTCCCCCTTGGCAAGACTCTAGCTCTCCACGCTCCTGCCTACGCACAAAAGCGGATCAAGTCGCGTACGTTGCATGATGGGCAAGTGTCCGTTGGGCCAATCCATACCTAAGGTAGACAGCTTCCCGGAGGCTAATTCTTTTCGATGGTGTGGTATAAGCGAATATAATTCGGGAAAATACTGTTGCAGGTGTCCAACACATGCTTCATACACCATGTAGAAGTAACGCTGATCCAAAAGTATGCAACAAAGTAGTCACACGATCAGCTCGCAGTCAGCCATGCGGGAGAAATCGAGCTTTCAAAAGCTTCCGCCTCTTGGCTATCCCACTGTGCACGTTTATAGCCTTCATTCACATCTTGAGGTGAACAATCAACCCTTTTCGGCCCCTGCGAAACAAAGGGAAACATGTCGGATGCAACACGTCTAAATCCCCCATCTTGCGATGCAATGAGACGCGCGGGTAGTAAAAGTGTATGCATGCGTAATTCGAGGTTGAGGTTTTAGGAGGGCTAAATTTCTTTAACGACGCTGTTAGATGAGCTGTTTGCATACATAATTCGAGTTGATATTTCTCGAAGGCTAAGTTCCTTTAACGCCGCTGTTAGATGAACTGTCTGCAGACATATTTCGAGGTTGACATTTGTGGTAGACTAAGTTCCTTTCACACCGCTGTCAGACGAAGTTCGCCTGCTGTGAGCTTCTTGCAGCTAAATGTATGTTCGTGGGTTCACCCTTATCCCATAGGCAAGACATGCTGAACTGTATATGGTAATACCTGGTCAGATGGCATGGAGCGGTTTTAGCAAAGGGAAGTCAGAACTAGGCGAACCCAAGAGCGCAGGGTGGAGAGTCGGAGTTGGCGAAAGTTGTGATTTCATAACAGACCATTTCAGCGTTTTTACGCGAACAACTCTTCTATTACAATGCAGCCACCGCTGTGCCTCGGGTCGTGCACATTGTCTGACAGACGAGTTTTTATGCAGCCAGCTTACTTTCCAGTGGTAAGTGATGCCGACAAGCTCGTCTTCATGAGAAGACCTGCTCTCGATGCGGGACAGCACTCTGAATCTCAGAAGACGGAGGCGAACGCACTGTCATTTCCATGACCACCGTATGTGTAACGCTGGCCATGTGGTAGGCGGCCGTTTGCTGAGGTGGGGGGTTCCGCTCTGTCAACAGTTTCGTACAGATTGCAGCTAAAACGTCACATGGTCTGGCCTTAAGGACAGCCATCCACAAATTGCGGGAAGGGTCTGCCGATAAACCGACATTCTTGCGTAATCTTAGGAATGCTAAGCCGTGCCGATGCTTGACACAGGGTGCCATCGACGATTCTGCGGGCTCGTCTGTGTACGGTGAATCACAGGCGCTACCGCAGCTGCCACAGTCGGCCGCTCTGCCACTGCTCCTGCTCCTCTGCTGATCTGATGCGCGAGTCTCACTCTCTTCGCAGCCGACGGCGTCATCAGTCTCGTTTAAACTATGACGAACGCTCGGTCGCCTGACGTTCCGACCGCGACGACCGCGCGGACCATCGCAGATTCTGAGCTAGCTGACTGATCTACCGATGTTGAGAACACGGCCAATATGCATACGACGTGCCAAGCGCTTGATCAGCTAATTCAGTTACTGCTGTAAGTTCATCTGGTCAGAAGCCAACATACCGTGCCAATATAGTTGTCCGGATGTTCTGCGTGTAATGGGTGATTCATCTAATACTGTTTCTGTTTCAATGTATGCCTGATTCGTTGGGATATTTTTGGTGACAATTGCTGAGTTTCCTTGTTAGCACAACTATTGACCCCGCCCCATTTCCATTCCTACGATCCCTTGATCCGCAGCTAGTCATCCTGCGACGACTCTGGCGCGGTTTCTTCAGATGTGACAGCTTCTTCACCACATACCTTTTTCAGAGTTCACAGACAGCTCCGGTATCACTGCTCTGCTGCAGTAACCCCGCACCGCTCCCGCTGCCTGGCCGCCTCCGCCGGTCGTGCTGGTGCGCGGCCGGCGCGCCCCACCGTCACTGGCTCGCGGCCGGCACTGAGCGGCAGCGGCGGCGACGGCGGCGGCGCGGCGCGCCCGGGCTGTCCTCGTCACGCGGGCGGCGCCGCCCAGGGCACCGCCCAGGGCGCCCACCCGCGACCCGCCGACCAGCCGTGGTCGGTCACGGTCCGCCACTGTGGGCGGCCGCCTGGGCTGCGGCTGGCTGACCGACGCCACGCGGCTGCCTTCGGTGGCGATCAGAAGAGCTGTAATTCAACACTCATGCTTGGATTGATAAACAAATCGCTGACTATCACTTAAACCCTTGTCTATGTGGAAACAATCTTAGGTCGATACATTAAAGCTAGAAAGCACAAAATTCATAGGTCATATTCCATTGAGATAACGGACGTAGACCACCTGGAGAAAACGACAGCCAATGGCCGCTTTCCGTCTGTATCCCTTGGTAATTTGTAAACAACGATGCTCCGCGATGTCATGGGCTAATTGGGCGCTTCTGCGGGCTACGCATCTACCATATGCGCCACCACGGATATCCACGAACATGAGAATTACCGGCACAGGGATGTGCTTACCCATTCATTTGTGGGTGCCATCCCATGGCACTCACAATGTTAGAATTGGCACCCACAGCTCAGCTTGTGCACCCACAACTCTTAGATTCATCACACATAGTGATGAATGGCTGGAGAGGACGGGAACGGGGCTAGGCGAAGGAACATAAGCACCTGCAGTAATAGAAGCGCACCGAGCGGGCCAGCTCCACCTGTCTTCAAACATCACAAAAATCATGCAAACGGCAAAAGCCTTCACGGGCTCAAAGTTCTGTAAACTATGGGCTACCTGGCTAGGGAGCAGCCCTAAGTATTTAAGCATCTGTGACTGCTTGAGCATCCATAATCGTTTTGTGAAGATGCACATGCGGCCGTCGCGCACCTCGTGCGCCGCTCCGCACCACTGAGTATGCTCCTGTGAAACTCCCTTTAGCGCTGGTGCTGGTGTCGTTGCCCCCCCAGACATGACGACTAACTGCAGCAGAACGACGCTGTGATGACGATCCGTTTCTGATCCGTGGCCTACCGCTCGGCAGCTCGACAGTGGCGCCACCTGCCGCTGTTGACCGGCGCACACACCGAGGAGGCGTGGACGCGCGGCATCAGCGGACGTGCATGGGCCCATGTGATATGGTAAAGCACGGACCTACACCAACAAAGGTGAAATATGCAGAGCAATGCCACTGATGCTCACGTATGTATGTATGTTCCGTGGTGCTCTAACGAGGCGATATCTGCATAGCAGAAGGCTGCTGTTAGCGCATATGGCGGCACCTGCAGGATGCGGTGGGGTACAGCAGCGACATCTTTAGGGTTGTCAGGCGCAACACTCCAGCCATCACGAGAGCGTTTAATGAAAACAGCAGCCCGGGAGGGCCTGGTGAACAATGCAAAGGAGTGGAGGCATGTAAGCAAGGCCCTTCAGGTCTTACATGACATGAGGGTTTAAGGTTATGCCGGAATTACCCTCCACGTTGCTGTGAGCTTCTACTGTCGTGTGATGCAGTCTTCGGTAACCTGCATACTGATCTCGATGCCAGGCCGTCGGCACATTGGCACCAAAAAACACAGCCGATGTTATATTTCCGAAAAACTTCAATATATTGATAGCTACACACAGGAGAAGACTACATCCAACGAAAACTGACCGATGGGGATATCAGCAACATTTGTCTAGACTGTCGGTGCTACTCTTTTTCGGGTAATCGTATCACAGACAGAAAATACACCACAGACGTCCGAATGCTAGTTAAGTATGCACGCGTTTGTGAGGCACCACAAGTTACGTCTCCAAAGTTGCGCATACATTCACGGGCTGTTGCTCAGGTGCCATGGGTCTATTTGTTTTTCAATGAAGGCGGAATTTCGAGACTGCCGAAGCTCATTACAAACACTGTCATAGAGCATCTGCAATTTTGACCGAGACTAGCGTTCGCCTCCATCGAACACGGACCAAATATGCTAGAGCTGGGGTTCAAAAAGGCAGAACATAGCTGATCTCAGGCTTTTCAACAACATTGCGTGACATGACTGGCACGGGCTGCCGTGGGAGATCAGAACACCAGCAGCCTATACCGACCTAAGGCACCAGAACTTGAATTGATACCCGCACGTCCTACGGAACGTGGACGCCAACTTGCAACATTGTGGATGCGTCCGAGATGAGAAGGCACCATTTGCGGCGACATTTGGGAAAATAGACCGCGCCAATGTCAAAAGATGACATTTAAGACAGCTTTGTTCAATATTACTCGCCACATTTGGTGCACCAAACAGGTTCAGAACACAAACAGGCTGGCTGCAGACGAAAAGGTCCAACTACACATCTCAGTATCCTGAAGGGATCAGAGCCACTGAGTCGCATTCGACGTCGTCTTCAGTGAGTGCATGGGTCACGGTGACTAGGAACTGAACAAACGCCACTCGTATATACATGGTCGTGCATTAACAAGACCTCCAGGGGTCGCGCTCAGCCCCCAGCAACGGCCGTCGCGTGTCGCGTCTCCCTCTCACTTCGCGTCCCTCCCTGATCGGTTTAAGGCATCTCGACTTATCTGATGCGAATGCATCGTGCCCGACCTTTCAGTTCTGGAGTTAACCCCTTCCTTCTCTTCTTCGATGCGCCATCATTCAATGGGTCATGCGTATGTTTAACGGCGCACTACGTGGTTGCTAAACCTGCACCACATACAGTGGCGTACGTGGAACTTTGGGAGCATGCTTCAGACAGCCACACCACTTACGAACTTAAGCATGCTGAGTCTTGACATAGACAGCATTCCAACAGGAAACCGAGAGCGATACGGGCACCATTTACGCAGACCCTTCAGCCTTGACGCCAGAGGAGGCTTCAAAGCGACGGAGTCTCGTGCGTGCTGTGTGACGACGGTGCCAGCCGAGCCGCTACATGACTGTGCACACGGAGCTGCTGGAGCCATTGCTGGAGCGACTGCCGCGGCCGCTGTCGTCGTCCCGGTCGTCTGAAAACAGGCCGCCATGGTGAAGGAGATGTGGAACGAATATAGAGTGATGTCTGATCTTAAGGAAGGTGGCGTAGTCTTGTAAAGAGACGTTTCCGATGTTTTTTAGTTGTGTAGAAAATACTGCGTACCATTTGATCCCAGCAAAGAGAAACTTAGACAACCCAAATGCATGCCAGCATTGTCGTGAAAAATGCAGAAGTCTGGTGTTGTGGGTAATTGAAACCAACTAAACAACAACTGCATGATAAGGAAAGGGAAGTTTCTTCTGGAACGGGATGTCATCGAAAGCGATGATTAAATCAGGACTACAGATAGCCTTCAAGCAAGAACCCTGGCGTGGTTTCGACTTTTGAGCGCGTGCTTGCGCTAAAGTATAACGACCTAGCTCGGCCCCCAAGGCATCACAATCCACTAGCCAAATGCCTATTTTCAGCACTCTGGAACAAGAGTGATGTAGGCAGTCCTGGGGCCGAGTTGGAGATGTTTTAGAAGCCATGTTTGGGCCTAGCTGTTTTGAATTATTTCTCAATTGCATTAATTTTTTTACCAGGGCTACTAACCGAGACGCTACCACATACCCTTAACCCCTGCTCAAGGCCCTCTATTGAGCTTACCGCATTCTTTGTTGCCTAAGGTTCTTTCTCATCCATTAGCTTGGAGTATCGTGTGTTTGCAGCATCAGCTGCTAATTAAGTATTTACGTACAGCTCGATGGGCGATGACCAAAAGTAGCGGCGCTCCTGGTAGCCCACGTTGTTGGATGTAGAATAAGCTGAGCCCTGATGGTGCTTTTATTGTTCATGCATGACGGAGAGGAGCTCGGCAAACATGAATGCATACAAGGATCAGTAGACCTTTCAACAGTTGATTGCAGTCACAATAACGCACATCACAAGACACGGTGCCTGTAGTCGAGTCCCCACCATGATTCTAATAAATCTCCATCATAATTCTAATGAATCCCCGTTACAGCTCTGCTCAGGTGGATTGATCCCTGTCGATGCGCTTGATCAGAGGCGATAACATGCTTCATGACTGTCATCAGTACCCACGCATTAACTCATATACGACTATGACCAGTCCTTCTCAGGTCCTGTGCGTCTCAGCAGGATCAAGACCAGTGACAGTCGTCACAGCATGTTCCAATGCTCTGTATTCCGACAAAAATTTGAAAGTGCAGTGCAAATTCATCCGTACATGCAGCCAAACCACTGCACCACCGCACGTCTACGTCGGAGTGCAGGTATTTACCTATTTACCTTCGAGCTCCCGGATGCACTTGTCGACCTGGGCGGGGCTCTGGGCGTCCATGGCCCGCTTCAGCAGGTCGACGGGCACGCGGTGGCGCGCCATCTTGTCGGCGTGCTGCAGCAGCTTGCGAATGCCGTCCTGCCGGCCGGGAGGGCAGGACTCACGGACGGTGTCGCCACAAACACGCCCGGGCCGCCGCTGGCCAGTGGTCCTCACAGGAGCCGAGTGTTACCCTAGGCCCTCCGCTGGGGCAGCGGTCCTCACAGGAGCCGAGTGTAACCCTCGGCCCTCCGCTGGGGCAGCAGTCCTCACAGGGGCCGAGTGTAACGCTCGGCCCGCCGCTGGGGCAGCGGACTCACAGGAGCCGAATGTAACGCTCGGCCCGTCGCTGGGGCAGCGGTCCTCACAGGAGCCGAGTGTAACCCTCGGACCGCCGCTGGGGCAGCGGTCCTCACAGGAGCCGAGTGTAACCCTAGGCCCGCCGCTGGGCAGCGGACTCACAGGAGCCGAATGTAACGCTCGGCCCGCCGCTGGGGAAGCAGTCCTCACAGGAGCCGAGTGTAACCCTCGGACCGCCGCTGGGGCAGCAGTCCTCACAGGAGCCGAGTGTAACCCTCGGACCGCCGCTGGGGCAGCAGTCCTCACAGGAGCCGAGTGTAACCCTAGGCCCGCCGCTGGGCAGCGGACTCACAGGAGCCGAATGTAACGCTCGGCCCGCCGCTGGGGCAGCGGTCCTCACAGGAGCCGAGTGTAACCCTCGGACCGCCGCTGGGGCAGCGGTCCTCACAGGAGCAGAGTGTAACCCTCGGCCCGCCGCTGGGCAGCGGACTCACAGGAGCCGAATGTAACGCTCGGCCCGCCGCTGGGGCAGCGGTCCTCACAGGAGCCGAGTGTAACCCTCGGACCGCCGCTGGGGCAGCAGTCCTCACAGAAGCCGAGTGTAACCCTAGGCCCGCCGCTGGGCAGCGGACTCACAGGAGCCGAATGTAACGCTCGGCCCGCCGCTGGGGAAGCAGTCCTCACAGGAGCCGAGTGTAACCCTCGGACCGCCGCTGGGGCAGCAGTCCCCACAGGAGCCGAGTGTAATCCTTGGCCTGCCGCTTGAGCAGCAGTCCTCACACGAGCCGAGTGTAACCCTAGGCCCGCCGCTGGGGAAGCAGTCCTTACAGGAGCCGAGTGTAACCCTAGGCCCGCCGCTGGGCAGCGGACTCACAGGAGCCGAATGTAACGCTCGGCCCGCCGCTGGGGAAGCAGTCCTCACAGGAGCCGAGTGTAACCCTCGGACCGCCGCTGGGGCAGCAGTCCTCACAGGAGCCGAGTGTAACCCTCGGCCTGCCGCTGGGGCAGTCCTCACAGGAGCCGAGTGTAACCCTCGGCCCGCCGCTGGGGCAGCAGTCCTCACAGAAGCCGAGTGTAATCCCCGGCCCGCCGCTGGGGCAGCAGTCCTCACAGAAGCCGGGTGTAATCCTTGGCCCGCCGCTTGAGCAGCAGTCCTCACACGAGCCGAGTGTAACCTCGGCCCGCCGCTGGGAGCACCCTCACACGAGCCGAGTGTAACCCTCGGCCCGCCGCTGGGGAAGCAACCCTTACAGGAGCCGAGTGTAATCCCCGGCCCGACGCTTGAGCAGCAGTCCTCACAGGAGCCGAGTGTAACCCTCGGCCCGCCGCTGGGGCAGCAGTCCTCACAGGAGCCGAGTATGTTGCTGTGATGCAAACCAGCTGCTTAATAGTTTCTACACCATTGTATACCGTAACTATAACGTCAAGCCAGTAACAAAACCAACGATGAGCCACCACATGCAAGGCAATGGTTGCAATAGGAAAGGGTGCCGGCTGATTCGATAGATAGCCTGTTCATTAGCTTAACCTATCGGTAAATCTACCCATAAGCATATATTTCCACCGCAGGCGAAGGAAAAAGGGGGGTGGGGTGGGGGCAGGGAACAATGCTTCCTTTCCCCCACACATTGCTCCAAGACGTCAGGTATGAAGCCCACAGAAATGCATTGAAAACATCGACTTCAAAATTTTGCGTTGATCCCCTCCCATACTGAGGCGTTCCTATGCCTATGATCGACACAACACTCCCCTCTCCTTTCCAAACGACTTGCCAAGCAGATCCTACTCTCATTGACGCCACCGGATTTTATCAGTCCTGTTCGCGCAGGCAGCTCAACAGTGATATCTCCCCTTCTTACCACTCGCTGCTGCAGGCGCGCCTGGGTCTTCTTCATCAGCAGGAGCTCAACGATGATGGACTGCTTCTGCGGGTCCACCACTCGACCATTCATCTGGAATCCGTTCATCAGGTTCGCCGTCCTGCCGCAGGGAGGCGGTGGCGCTAGTGTCAGAGTTTGAGGCGGTCGTGGCGCAGTGGCGACAAAAGATGCGGCTTGCCTTTCGGCGCGATGGTACTTTCGCAGGAAGTGGCTCGTTGTACGACGCTAGCACGCAAACATGGCCGTTTGTAACTTAACGTGAGAAGGGCACTGACCAAAATGAGCAACCACCAGCATCTACGTGATATGTCAGTAACTATGGTAATGAAATGCGTTTAATTTTTATGAACACGGTCGGATTTACCCAGTCCTGTGTAAACCAAGGGCGTTGAGGCTGAGGAGTGACATAAGCAGTCTGCGTGGAAAAAGAGCTGACGCACAAAAAGTACCTCGAGAAAACGCCCCTGTCAGTCTTCATGATGTCCTTGGTGGTGAGGTGCTTGATGGAGCCGGACAGGTTCCGCAGCCGGTGCTTGCCCCAGACCTGGATGCTCATGCTGCTGTTGTGCAGGTAGTCGACCAGCTGCTTGGTGGCCGTGGGGAACTTGAACACCTTCGCGTCGTTGAAGTCGGGGTTGTTGGTGTCAGGCACGTGCTTGGTCGCGTGCTCATCCTCCAAGTACATCTTGTACTTGCAGAAGACGTCCTGCAGACGGTGCCACATTAGAGCCGTCAGTCAGTCAGCCAGTTCAGCGGAGGCAGCTGTGTTCTGTCCGCCTTAAGAGGACATAATTCTAATTCCGTGAACATTTAGCATTACTGGCCATTACCACCGAAGACATTGCGTTTCTCATCCCGTCGAAATGTGTGCGCAGGTACCACGTGGTTCAGGACGCATAATTCGTCGGTTTCCCTGAAGGTGAAGTGAAATATTTCCCGACCCCTGATTACCGTATACTTGTTGGGCAGTCCCCTGATGTTGAGCAGCTTGACCACAAAGTTGACGTCCTTGCCGATCAGCATGTCCGGACTGTCCACGAACCGGTCGTCCTCTTCCTTGTACTCCTTCCCGTTGGCGGCGCACGGAATGACCTCGATCTGTCCACCATACATAACAATAACATCGCGACCTTGAATGTTAGGCAGATGAACACATCTTTGCAGCTCAAAATGAACTGGCGTGTCTGTTACCAAGGAACTGTACGAGAACCGGCGGAAAGGGAGGAGGCGGCGTACGCTCTTTGAAACGCCTGCGATGGCCCGCAAAAACAGATGCGAAAGCCGTCGCTGCGCGCATATCTCCAAGCAAGCTGGTGGTCACAGAGCTGCATATTGTCTTATAAACAATGCCACACCTTACATGACATCGACAGTTATATGCTTATGCACTAACTGGATGAGAAACGGCAGCAAGACGAGAGCATGTAGCATCGTGCGTGTCGTGAGCACCATACAGAGGACACGGCTTCCTGAGTGCCAAAAAAAAAAAACAAACAAAATGATAAATAACAATCATCATCATACATCCGACTGTTGCCTTACGTTCATGACGCCGACTTCGGAGCCCTTGTAGTTGGCGATCTCCAACTGGTCTTTGAGCTCCACCTGGAAGGCGATCGGCTGCAGGAACACTTGGCACGTGCCGAGCAGCACCTCCGTGTCCGGAGACTCGCGGAACGGATCCTGGCTCTGCAACAGGCCGCACGGTCCCCTGTCACGCCGCAGCTGTCGGTGTCAGATGGGGCTAGCGGTGCTGGGCGCTACCTGAAGTACTTCAGCGGTCTGGCTTCATCTGAGCTTTTGTCTGTGGTTTGGTTGCTAACATGTGTGGTGCAGTTTGTGCAAGCTCATAACATGGCATGCTTATCTGCATCAAAAACGTTATCGACGGAGACTCGGGTTTGGCAGATGGCGCATAAATGTCCTTACAGAGATGAGCCGATTGCCGAGCCGACACGTCAAGGAAAATCTTTCAGTAACAATATGAACAACACGAACCATTCCCCATCACTTATGCCGCTTTAACATGTCGTGTCTCTCCACAGATCGCACGGCCGGAGGTGTGCACATGAAGCCATGCATCTCGACGGCATCGCCACCCGTCGGGTCTCTGACCTCGGGCAGGTCCCAGTCGTCATCGTCCTCGAAGTTGCCGTACATCTCCTGCATCAGGTACAGCCGGTTGCGGAACTTGTCCTTGGGCCAGACGTACTCGGCGTTGTTGGCCAGATTCCGCATCTTGACGCAAACCTGGCGATGAGGCCGTTAGAGTGGTAATGTCGCATATACAGGCTGGCAAAACTTGGAAACGAGGGAGCAGATGGCAGGAATCAGCTAACACATCTTCCAGTCTTTCCTGATGACATCATACCAATTGGGGGAGGGCAATAGCCGAACCCATCGCCAATGCTGCAATCATCCGTGGCTGCTGACGTTCCATCTGGCAGCGTCATGTAATCACGAGAGCTCTGGGCGACTTCTGACGTTCTTTTGAAATAGCCACTGTGATCACCTCTGGCCTGGTGGGAGAAACAGCGCAAGCCATCACAGGCGTGGGTTGTCAAGCAGCCAGGCATCAGCCGCAAACCCGTCAGACCCGTCAGACCGGGCAGACCCGGCCCGCCCGGCAGATCCCGCAGACCCTGCCGACCCGGCAGATGCGGCAGACCCCGCAGACTCCGCAGACTACGCAAATCTCGCAGACCCCGCAGACCCTGCAGACCTCGCCGTCGGTCCGGCCAGGGCACCAACCTCGGTCCTGCCGGTCGTCTTGCCCATCATCTGTGGCGACACCAGCAGGATTTCGAACTTGACACGCTTGTCCAGCTCCTCCGAGATGCTGTTGGCCTCCTCCACGCCCGGCATCAGCTCCAGCAGGTCCTCCTGCAGCGCCACCTGGTCTGGAACACCGCACACCACGTCGGGACTACTGGGAAGCTAGGTTAGGGCGGGTTTTGAAGTACCTACAACAAATCTGAGCCACCGTAGAGCACCGCTTTGGCACGGTCTGCTGTTAAATTAATCCCGTTGAGCTGAAATGGTCCCGAACAAATCTCAGCAAACTCAACCGTACTTCACAGGCTGTCCGACGAGCGCAGCCACAGTGCCTCGTTGGGCACGGGGTGTCCGACGGCTGTCCGACGGCTTCACAGGCTGTCCGACGAGCGCAGCCACAGTGCCTCGTTGGGCACGGGGTCACGATGCAGCTACTGAGCGAATTACCTCATCTGAAGCCAACAATTTTATTTAGCACAGCTTACCCCCCCCCCCCCCCCCCGGCACGATAACCAAAGCCAGCTTACCGGTATTCCCGGTGTTATCCATCTTGAGACCGTTCTTCGAGGCGATTTCCTCCTGAGCATACTCGTAGGTGATAGACGGGTACTTCTTCTTGCTTTGCTTAGCCTCCAGCGGATTTGCAAACACCCAAATTTGAGTGCCACCGAACACCAGTCTGAAATACATGAGTCATAACGCATGCGACACTGTCACAATCGAACCGTTGTGTCACTATTAAAGCTGCAGCTCGCTGTCAGTGCCTTGTAGCTGCCTAATAAATAAATAAAGGAAATGAAGAATACGGGCTGTTCCGAAGACTCACTTAAAACCGTCCTGTACTTGGTGCCCAGTGACTGACAAATGGGACGTGGTTATACGTCATGACACTTAAAAATGCATTTACTGAACAGAGTAGCAGTAGTGCCTCCGGTCATGTTTCGTGACAAACTCGAACGCTTCCGAATGCACATCAGTAACGTTGCATGAAAGAAACCGATCGCCTAGACAGCAGTAACAACGCCACACCTAATAGGTGCCCACCGTTGATGGCGACTGATGGCGTATGCTCGAGACACCCTGGAGGAAGTGTGCCCGTCCCGAATGTGTCTCATTTGGAGCCCCCGCCACCAGCAGCGCCCACTGGATCGCACGGTGGCGCGGCCGCGCGCCCTCCTTGGCGACCAGCACGGACCTGTCGTTGTGGCACAGCGTCGTCTCGCCCTGGATCGGGGTGCCGTTGACCAGCACGCGGCACTCGGTGTTGCACGGCTTGATGTTCACCTTGTTGGCCTTCTCGTCTAGCACGACGATCGCGTGCTTCTCCTGGATCCTGGCGATGAAACGGAAAACGGCCTGTTTGCGCTCTTTCAAACGGCTGGTTTCGTCGTGTAGCACTTGCAACGACAATTGACGCCCATGCTGTTGGGCTGGTTTTGTAGCGAAGAGAAGCTTCGACGAAATATTGCGTAATTCTTTGCAAAGTTACTGGTCTTAGTGTCACGTCTGATCAATTGCAAGCCCGGGGGCGCAGCCAACCACCACGACCCGGATGCTGGCGAAAAGTGGCATTTGTGGTCAGCTAACTTAACAATACACAATCGCTGATGTGCTACCCGTGCATCACAAGCCGCCACTGACCATTGTCGCATTTCTCAGAACAGGTTCAGACCATTCATTACGTTTTCAACAGCGCCAACAACGTTCCGTTCAGAATGACAGTTGCTGGCCTGGATTGCACTACAAAATGCATCAATAATTCAAGAGGTGATTGTCAAACATCATACATGAATTATAAGGTAACCTTACTAGACCTGCACCTGGACCAGAGAAAAGCCGAGTAAAAATATATAACGTATTCCCGTTATCAGAACACCGGAGACCGTCAGCTGGGGAATACCCACTCGGCTAGAACATAGAAACCTCTTCCGGTTTATTGCCGGACACTATCGTTGCGCGTGGCGTTCATGATACCCCCATCGAAATGCCACGTCACCACAAATAACATCATTCGATATGCATAAACACAAAGTTTGCACTGATTCTGAAATCATCGGCTTCCAAAGCAAATTTTGAGCTAATTGTAAAAGCATCGGTTACCAAAATAAGTTATGCACTGAATGTAAAAACATCGGGTTGGCTTATACGCCCCTAGCTCGTAAATGACCAGGTGTGACACTAACTCCAGATTAACCACAGGGCAATGTGGGCGCATGATTTACTTTTCAAGCTCGCTCTGGCTACACTATCAAGCCGATAAGTTGCCAGGCAAAAAGCTAAGCCAAATGCCATATTTTGGCTAGCGTGCAAACACGCATCTAAGCACAGAGTATGGTGTGTTCTATGTAGTTAAATACGCATTCACATGCCTGTCCAAAAAATTATTTGGCTTAGAGAGGTCCGAAAACGGTTTAAGCACGCGACATTTCGAAAACTCGAGAGCATTCGGAAGTACGTTCTCAGCTGTTAGTGGTAAAGTTTTTAGACTAGTGGAAAATACCAGTGGTCGAAATGTAGCTTATGTCGACCTCGACCTTTCCATTTTTGACTCAGTCACGGGAAATCCGCGGTAAAATGATCATCAAGAGCCATGGATACATATGGGAGGGAAGGAAAGGTTGAAGTTCAACCGGACAATATTACATTTTACGTGGATGATACTATTATCAAACCCTCAACAACTGCTAACTGCAAACCAACGTCATGAATCACCCAAACGACCTTCCAACCCACAACAGCTAGGACAGTCCGAACATCACCGCGGTCATAACACCGACATTCGCAACTCCCCGTTACCTAAATTAAATCCATTGACACCGGTGGCGCGGCGCCAGTCCCAAACTCTGGGGGGAGGGGCAGGGGTGGCGTTGTGGTCGCGCCATTGGCATTGACCGGTCGGCCGGGCGAGTCATTGATTCGAACCGGGCGGCCGCGCCGTTCCCGGCAGTGTTAGCATGGTCGCGAGCCAACGGGCCGCCGCAGGCCGGGCAACTGCCGTGTGGCCGCGAGCCCGTCGCGGCCGGCCGGGGTCGGGGCGGGGCCACGGCGATCGCCAGGGGAGGGGCAGCGGCACGGCGGGGGACGGACGGGGCCCCGCTGGGGATCTGCCGCGGGGCATGTTGAAGGAGGACGGCGGGAAATAAATACAAATAATGGCGGGAAGAGGCTGGCGTATGGCGAGAACGCGCTGTGAACAGCCGGGGGGAAAGGAGGGCGGCGGGAAGGAGCCGCCCAGGGGATGCTGTGTGACCTTGCCGACGTACCAACTGCACTGCCTGGCCAGACAGTAGAGCTTCAGCTACTAGGGAGCATGGCCTGGGGGAGGGGGGAGGGGGCACACAGCGCACAGCGGGATGAACCGCTGCGATCCCGTACACTTACGCTACAGCATTGGGAAACGGTTCCCGGTTGTGATGCTGACGATGCTTGGGGCTTTACGGGCGCGCCGGCTACTCAGGCCAAGCAAGAGATAACGTGATGAAATTTGCTAGCATGGCTATAATATTCAGGCATTCAAACCATGTTGTGAACAGATATTAATGTAGCAAATAAGTTAACAGCATTCAATAAACCAGTACGTACGATTAAACGACGCTGTAATGCTAAAATAACGATTATATTGACGGTACTCATTGTCCTTGGTAGTTAATATCATGCTTAACAGTAAACATAAATGCAACGCTAAATAAGATTTATATTGAGTACCGTCCATATGATCGCTATTTAGCATTACCACCTCGTTTAACCAGCACCTCCTGGTATATTTATGGTCGTTAATTCAGTAAAATAACTCTTAACTCATAATGCTGACAGACCGACAGCTGAACGCTCCTTTTTCTTTTATCAAGTGGAACAAGGGAATCACATTCAAGATACACTGAAAGGAAATCCAACAAAGCCGGCCTGACATCAGCTTCACACGCAGGGCAGTAGAAACAAGGTCACAAGGATGATCCTTGATCCACATGCGGAGGTGGATCGATGCACAGTCAGCAGCGCGGCGGCGGAGTGTGCACACTCCACGTACACAGTGCATTTGCCGACCGGTCGACGTTGCCATGGAGACGTTGATATCAAGCGGCGCCAACCCGGCCGCTGCGGCAGCGGCAGCTTGGCTGACAGCCGCTGATGAATATCCCCATCAGTTCCGCACGTACGTAAAGGAATGTTGATACCGTGACATGTGAATATAATTAGTCGATTCCCCGACCGGTCTAGCGAACGACGAACGACTTATGGCCATCTAGCTGAGTGTGTTGTTTCAGAAGGGCCTAGAATAGGTGAGCACGGTCCGCTATTCGCTCTTCCATTACGTAGCGAAACTTTTAAGCAACGTGCTAACAGACTCGTCGCTCAAAAAAAACAGAACCGACCGAACAACTTTTAGTCCTTTAGTGGTCAATTACTTCCTTGCAATTTAACGCATTGTTCCATTTCGGTTAAACCCGCTACGCAATTATCTTTTGGTTTTACGGCGCATATGTAAAGGGAAGGAAGCCATATTATAAACACCTAAATTAGGTACAATGTTCACCTATTTAGAGTTATTGCATAACATGTCTATCTACGTTTTGTAACCAGCCATTCAACCGAAACTGCCATGACCTTAACTTTTTCTGTTCTTGTCTTAAGCTCAAATTAGAGATTAACGACATGAACCCGGGGATATTCTGATAATCTGCGTCCCAGTCGTCCTAGCCTAACAACATCCTTAGTCCAGTACGGTATGGTCTCTATCCCCCTCCCCCAGCCCCTCCCACAGCCCTCCCCCTCCAGGGCCTTACCCGTCATCCAGACTTACCCCGGTCCGATCATGGTGATGTCGCTCTCGCCACCCTTGCGGTTGCCCACCTCCGTCTGCTTCTTCTTCAACACGTTCACGATGCGGCCCGACAGCATGGGGTCCATGTTGAGGTTGAAAATATGTGGTTTCGTCTCCTTGTCCTTGTTGATCGCCGCTTGACCTCCCTGGAGGTCGAACATTGTCCACAGTGAGGTCCAGTATAGACAAGTCCGTCCTCCATACAGGGACAGGGCCACTGGTGCGTAGCAATCGCAGCGATTTATTCATGATCGCACCAACTTTAGTTCTTTCCTACCACTGCAACAGACTGCAAACTTTTCCGAAGGCTCGTCGATTCCGCATCCTAGTGAACACCCTGGTTTCCCAGCAAATCGCTAGCGTATCCCACGTGGCCATCTCCGCATCGCAAGCCTTGCTTTTGAAGCGTCACGTTCACATGCACAAACGTCGCTGAAGCTAAGCTGGCGTGACAGCACAGCTGTATGGAAGAGTCATCCCAGACGCCGTACCGCGGCGGCAGCCTGTCTGGCCGCCTTCAGCTTCTCCTCGTACGACTTCTTCATCTCCTCCTGCTCGCGGTCATTCTCCTGCATCTGAGCCCGCAACTCCTCCTCCATCTCCTTGCGCAGCGCATTCTTATCTGTGGCGGAGGTGGGCGAGGAGATGACAGAAATGAAGGACTGAGCCCTGCTATATCTGAGACTAAATATGCAAAATAACCAGCACAGATGCCAGGAGGCTGCCATGGTTGAGTCTTGCTTACAAGTTACGTCTTTACCAAGCGTGCATGCTGTTTTAAACTTAACTATGAATCGAGACGAATGATTGGAATAGACAGGCAGATGAAATACGAACGCTGTACGCAAAACTTTCTTAGCCTTTTATTGAAGTAGCTGGATATGATTTAAGTCCCGCCTTACTCACCAACCGGGCCACTCCACGTCACTAACACACTCCGTGACACCGTGACGCACCTGCTTCGGACATGCCCTTGGTGTTGCCCAGGTCGATCTTGCCGCCTTTCATGGACGCCTTGAGACGCTCATTCTCCTCCTTCAGCTCTCGCAGCAGCTTCTCCGTCGGGTCCTCGTTCACGGTCGCCTTGGTCTTGATCTGCTTGGCACGGTCGGCTGGGGAAGGAGTTCTGTCAGGACTGGCTGGCCGAGCCAAGGAGTCCGGCTGGCTGGCGCAGCCATGGAGTCCAGATTGCTGGCGGAATCATGGAGTCCAACTGGCTGTGTATTTTGCACCAGACTGACCGAGAGATGCCGGATGAATTGCAATCCTGCTTGTTCCGAAGTGCGGTTGCAGGTTCTGCCATGGTCCCAGTGGAGTATGGAAGAGCTATGGATAAGAACTAACGGCGTACTCCGGCTCCGGTTTTATGAGCGTGCTGAGAATGGACAAAATGTGCACGCTACATTGGCTGAAAGATTAAAATTACAATATAAAAAGCTGATGAAATACGTTAAGGTTTTCTGGATGACTGCTATCAACCACGTGGTTTTCTTTCCATTCGTTTTTGAGATGTAGCCCTGTTCATGGCTGTCATGGCGTCGCTATTTCCACTTCAAAGACAATTGCTTACCGAACCGTAGCGTGGACAATGTCTCCTCGTAGTTCAGGTCAGCGGGAGAGAGCGCCGCCACCAACACCGTCTTCGAGTTGCCCATCAGGGCATTCTGGAGCAGCCGGGTCAGCTGGGAGTCCCGGAACGGCACCCGAGCATCCTGCCGGGTCACAGGTCAGGTGGAACGGGTCAGTAGTGAGCAGGTTAGCTCTGAGTCCCGGATCGAGCGACACCTGGGTGTCCGACCGAGGCAGAGGTCAACAGCGAATCCCAGATCGAGTGGCACCCGAGTATCCGAGCAAGGCTGAGTTTCGGAGCGGCGAAAACCAGAACCAAAACAGAACGGGGTTGATCAGAGTGGTCAGCCATAAGAAGGAGAACAGAATCAGAAACGGATAGGTGCATAGAAAACTCGGGTATGTGGTCCATGTTTTCTGCCCCGTTATGCCATGTGATGCAACTGGTTCATTTTATTACAAAAAAATTGGCACATAAACCCATTATCTTCTGTCGTTCCCCAAGGTAACTTAAATGCTGGTGCGTGGCGCAATATACTCTTGGTTTGGGAGCACAGTAAGATCCCAAGGCAGGAGACACCCCCTGTTTACTATTATAACAGTAAGTCCTCTGGATGGCGGCATTTGCAGTGCCCACAGACCTTGTCTCCATTGGCGATCTCCGTCAGAGCGAAGATGCAGTTGCCCAGGCAAGAGAGCGACTTGTTAATGGCGGCTCCCTCCTTCAGTCTCTCTCCCCTAGCGCCCGTGCTGTCTGCTCGCTCACTGTCGGCAGTCCAGGCAGAGTCAGACTTCATAACAATGCAGTGAGGCAAAATCGCACGGTAGCAGCACGCAGTCTAATCCACACTCCGGTCATGAGGCTACGTTGGCAGTATGACCTCACATGGATGGTCTGCCGTTAATTGGAAAACTTTAAAACGTTCATAGTTGCTAATTAACATACTAAACCTAGATACCGTCATCACGACACTTGCCATGTTATAAGTCCAAAGAACAGCATTGCTTCTCAACGTCCCTCCATACCCCATTGCCTCGAAAAGGAGAAAATCATCGTCTAAGCAGTGCACAAATGGCTCGTTGGTGCTGTTTTAGCTGTTCGTGACGCTCTGATGTCCTCCTGAGAACACACTGCAGGCTGTAGTTTGACAGCAGGGTTGTGACCGGAAGGCGCACGTGACCGGACCTGCCAGCCAGGTCCACCAGGTTGACGATGGAGGTTTTCGCCGTCTCCTGGCCGGCAGCGTTCTTCTGCTTCTGCGTGAAGTGGATGCCGACGATGGTGTGCGCGCGGGACGACGTGGCGTTCATGTTCGTGGAAGCGACGGTGCGATTCATGGTGCCCTGGTCCATCTGGGTCTCGATCTCCTCATATGAGGTCACCATCACCTGCTTCAGACCTTCGGCTGGAACAGGACGGAAAGACGCGCTGCGAGCGGGTGGCCAATTGGTTCTGGACTGTTTACACCGCGGATGAACTGTAGAATGGGCTGGTAATCAGAGTATATGGTTCAAGAGGGAATGCCAAAGCTTGACATCATACAAACATCTTGCGAACATGATCATAAATACCTTGCGAACATGATCATAAATACCTTGCGAACACAAAGCTTGACGTTATGCAGCTTTGTGCGAACAGTAGCACAACAATGCTATTGAACCCAGTTTGCAGAGTTGTGGCAACCCAATAAGATGTAAGCGAAGGCCACGCAGAACATAACACCCTGCTGTGATTGCCACATATCAAACCCAGCTTGAGCGTGTACCGCAGGCGGAGAATTGTATTCAAACACTCACCGTAAAAGCCCTTCTTAGGATGCTGACGAACCTTGAGGCCCCCCTTCTTCGCTTTGTTCGGGTTAAGCAGATCGTGCACCACCTCACTGTAGATTTCCAGCATGCTGAACTTCACCTCAAACTGCACTGGCTGCTTGGCCTTTTCCTTGATGCCTTTAAAGATCTCCTCGCAAAAAGTTGGCACGATGCCTGAAATGCGAACAGTGCAATAGTGGTAGACTGGGGTGTCGATGTATAAATAACGCATAGTTGACCCATACAACAACGTAGGTTTATGTGCGTCAAGTTGGTATGCACGTCAAGTAAGCCCTGCTGGCCAGTTGAAAGACGCATTGTCTGTCCAATGGATGACATTTGAAGTAGCATTTGAAGCCGTTGGGTGTCGGTGATTGCCCAATGACGCTCTCAACCAAACTCATGCAAGTGATGAACATTATTCTGCAATCGGCCATCCAGCTTTTACTAACAGCACTTTGCAAGTATTTTTTTGAAGCAGTGCAAGTTTAAGGAATACTGGCCTCATCCAGACCCAAGATGTCTTACCCTTGTTTGGGCCATAGCCGATGACCGAATAAGACTTTCCGGAGCCCGTCTGGCCGTACGCGAAGAGTGTAGCGTTGTACCCTCCCCAGGCGTTCTTTAAGATACCCTGGCCAAGGTCATTAAATACCTTTTTCTGTGGGAGGGGACATACAAGACATGATTTATCCCGTTTCCAATATCTTCACAACAGACTAGGAAGGCATGGTTCTATTTTTGACTTCGAGGATCTTTCACGAACTTTAAATTACGTCTGTGGGATAATCCAGTGATTGAGTTGCTTCGGGCGTTAGGAATTGGCACAATAGGCAAAAAGTCAACACGCCGACGTTCAGCAAAAGACATTGACGCGCCAAAGCTGCACGGCAAAATTCTGAGTTGCTGCCCAGCCTCAAATACCCGGTCCTGATTGGCTTACCTGGTCAGCGAACTTGCTGCCGTTCTTGTGACTGGTGTCTGGCTGGAAGTAGCCGTTGACATCCTTGGAGCCATCGAAGCTCCAGTAGGAGTAGTCAAAGGTGAAGGACTTGGTCTCGCCGCCCGGCGCCGGGTCCCGGATGAACGTAGTGTTCTTGTTCACGTCCAGTATCAGCTGGGCATTGCGACCCTTCTCACGGCTGTTGTGCGAAGGAGTTAAGGAACTTGCCGACAGGAGTGGCCGGGAGTTGGCATGGCTGATGGCAACATGCAATCGATTGCACACAGGCGGCTGACTCGTAAATATTTTCAGTTTCAGAGTTAATCGAGAAACCCGTGCTTCAGGTACAATGAACAACGAACACTTAATCATGCTTCAGATAGGCGACAACCAAAATATCCATTTGGTACATGCGTGCTCCCCTTTCAAAGCCACTTGATGACGTGTAACGAATGGAAAGCAGGGACTCAAGCAAACACCGTGACTTATTTATCTTACGTGCGTGGTAATGACAGCGAGAAAAACTAAGCCTGGGTCGTCATTTATTCAAGAAAAAAATCATAAGTGCGATAGACAATTCCTAGGATGCATACCGTGATGTATTACATACCTACTTGATAAATATATCATACATAGTTAATAAAGGTGATTTTAGGTTAAAAACACCGGTAGAGAGCAACTTGTTACGCATACACGGGGCCCACCAGCCCAGGTTTGCCGCCTAGTGGAACGGATACTTTTGCCTCTGCCGTTTTGCCAGTTAGGGGATTGTGTAACAAATACATGCATGTATGTTTAATGAAAAATAGAACGTATATATGTATAACGTACAAGGCTCAAATAGGATCAGCACCTTCCCAGTGTTGGTGCCAAAAACAGGGCCAATCAACATCTGCAGTAGCTCCAATTTCCGAAGTTAATGTATTTCAGCACAAAAATGCGCCACTTAACGACCCATTAGTGGGCTTCCTGCGCTGTGTCGGCAAGCGCGCCACCTGCAGGTTATTAAGGGCCAACCTCCCCCTCGTCCGTGACCTTCCACCGGTGCCGCGGCCATTTGGGTGACTGATGTCCGCCTGGTTGTGCCCGACGGTCACGCGACGATCAGGTCACGACAAGGTCGATACGGGGTCGATTCGCCCCTGTCCCCTCCTCCCCATGACGTCAGCATGCAAGGACTCCACAAACACACATACACGAATATCCGGCACGTCCGCTTCGCCCGCAGGCGTCGGGCTACGCGCCCACGACACCCCGAACGGGCGTCAAATGATCCCCAACCGGCCGTCAGCACCCGTAGAGTAAACAGAGGCCGCTGAGGATCGATGGTGGGGCCGACCGAACGGTCCCGGGGTTGTGGAGGCAGCTGACACCCGAAGATCGATTGAGGGGCAATGTCGGTGTGGATGGGACGATGCAACGTTACGGACTCGGGATAATTTTGAAGACTTCCAAAAGGAAAATGGATT